AAAAATAGGCTTTTTGTGTCGTAACACCCAAGCCAGACGGGAATTAGTGGAACAGTTGTCTAAATCGATGCTATAGCTTTTACTGAGAATCCCCAAACATCAATCGTAGTACTAAGTGTTCTCAAAAACAGTCCCTTTGCATCCTTCATAGGCACTGAAATAAAGGGGGATCACATTGTACGCCTATTTACACTGCATGTCAACCAGTATCCAAAACTTCACGCAAAATCTACCCGGTTTGTTGGGCACAGAATGATACACCGACAGCGGGATTTCAAGGCCGTGCGCGGCTCGTCAAATGTCAAACAGAATTCAGGAAAATAAACAGCCTGGCCTAGCTGTGAAACGTTGGAACACTACACGAATAGGTGCAAGTTGGCCCACTGATTTAGGAGCTAGAAACGTACTCGGATTAGGGAAATCAAGATTCATTTTGATCAACATAAACCAGTCTCTTAGTACCACTCTACAGGACGTTTGTGCACCATCACCACTCCACAAAAAATAAGCGGAGTGACGTTTCCCATAAAACCTACGTGCACACTGCCGGCCGATGAGTGATAGCGAATCACTTACTGAGAGACTAGTACCATACCGGCACCACTAGTGCTAAACTAGCATCATACTGCAACATTTCGTAAAATACAGCTATCTATGGGACGTATGAATGAGTGCAGTATTGTGTTTATCCAAATGACATGCTTTTCTATGCCCGAAAAGAACTCGAAAAACGTTCTTGAATTTCCGACCGATTGCTATGTTCTGAACCCCTTCACGCAAGCGTACTTACCAAATGTTCAACTTGCCGAAAGAATTAGAGCAGGTCGTGCAAGAGTCGGATCGTGGCAAACTGGCGGCAATCAGGCGCCGATCACATTGACGAAGCTGCCCCAACGTAACCCACAATCCATGCAACCGATTGACTAAAAACTTGGAGTAAACCGGAAACGCTAGACTTCGTACAAATTCATGGAAACACGAGTACACAACTTCGAAAAAAACTAAAAAGGTTTAAACGAAGCACCATATTTGTGGTAATGGTCAATCGGTGACATAGTTACGCCGTACATTAGGGTCGGTGATAGTCGCAGTTCTCGGGGCAACGGGTGGTTACGCAAGACGACGTATTGTCCATAACATTCAACCCATAGCCACTGTGCTACCAGGATTGCGATTTGCATGACTCTGCCTTAGCACCTGAGTGTCCACGTGCCGTGGAACCATATTGCTGAATCGCCCACTACGGCACATCAGGAGGCACGGCAGCTTTTAATGGGGCCGATGGACAACCGTTACAACTGTGTTTGTCGGGGTTTCACTGAATTTGCCATAAATTCAAGCTAGAAACTTCAGGATGAAGGCTACTGAAACTGCTCGATCCTGATTGGTCCACATACCGACCAATCGGGCACACCTTCGTTTGATCCGCCGTCAGCTTCCGTTCATTTGATGTTCGGTTGATTAGAGCAACACTCCTCCGGACACCATTGTACTATGGGCAGTAGAAACTGCCCATTAACCTAGCACATCTGTACGTGAAGTTGAGGCTCACTGTTATTATCAAGTGGATTGAACCCCCAATTACTCCGGCCAATTGCTCGGTTGGCGTATCGACCTCAATGTCCTTTGGTTGACCTCGTACAAAAAGTGACGGTATTTCTCAAGCACTGTTCGAAGTAACATTGCAGCGATTCTAGTGTATCACCATACGCGTCTGAAATACCAGTAGCACGCGGTTCGTATAATACCAGAGAATCTTTATGAGGGGGGCGAAAAAGGCCAAACTATTGAGGTCTGGTCCTAATTGACTGACAATCTGACCAATCACAGCATACGCTCATTCGTTCCACACCTGGCTCGCGACACATCCGTCAAATTCACGTGATATCCGATTAATTAGAGCGGCCCGCCTTTGAACGGTGATATTGGTATCCTCTTAACTTTCCGACTTTCCCACTATGATTTTTAGATCAACATTGTTATCCAGTATGTGAATGCGCTTCAAGTTCAGATGCGAAACCGATCGGAAAATCCAGATGTTATATTATAACCAGAGTTGATTCATCATGAGAAGTCCGAGAAATGCCGAAAATGAATTATGTGATTATTTCTGAGCATGGTCGACCCGATGAAGACTGCATCTTCGCCTTATGCCCAGGTGAATACACTGCAATACATGCCCGCTAAGCACAGCTAATTTTATTCTTGTCAGCGGTTTCTACGCGGATTGTGAGCAATGCAAGCATCTCAGAATACATACAGCAATGATTTTTTCTCTGTGCTTCCTCTATGTGTAATGAAGCTTTTAACTGCTGTATTACAAACATACAGCATGGCTATTCAAAATCTATGTTGTTATCGCCCGTTGTGATGCAAAAAACCGTATCAGGTTCAGTTTGTGGCATCCGCTACTTTTTCGATAGGGTCTAGCCACCTAAGAAAACCTACAACAGGAATAAGAGACGAACAAGTTAAACCAAGCAATATGTACCTTCGGAATTCACCTGCGTGAAACAAAACTCCGTTCCAACAATTCATTTGTGAACGATGCGTCTGATAGATGCTCACGGATCCGTAAAGCGGCGTAATTTTGCACATCTTCGTGAGGTGATCGCCATCACTTGATAGGTCTTAAACTAACTGGATTGTGATAATTGTCACCGAACGAGAAAAAACTAAATACTTATCAGTTATTCCTCACATTAAAGAAAACTACACTACATTAGCCAAGATGGAACTTGGCTGACCCGTAGCGACAGTTAACCTTACGACCAGCGACTGGTGGATATGTATAGGATGAGCATTGCCCCCGCAACACTAACACACAATTGCACTGTAAAACCAACCCTCACATAAGCTCACGCGGCTGAATCCGTTTTAATGTATGATCACGTGCACGACTGACTTCTAGCTTGTCATATGGAACATCCGGGTGATCTTGTAACCCGCTGGTGCGATGTCAGCAACATGGAGTGCAGTGAAGTACTCACAGATGACAGATACAGCTGACATACATACGGAAAGAGCATTAGCGGACACTCTAGTTTATGACCTCATTAGATATGCTAATATCCGTCTCCGGGGGTACCTGTGGATCAGGGAGCAACTTGGATTATGCTGGGCTGCGTGAATCAGTTTTCGGAAAAGATACGCCTATGATGCAGGGGGGTTGTCATCCCATATCATGTATATATATATATATA